CAAACAATCCGCCTGCCTCGGCCTCCCAGAGAGCTAGGATTACAGGCGTGAGCCACCACGCCCGGCCTATATATAACTTTTTAAAAAATGATTCTTTGCTTTATTTTAATTAAGTGGCTAATCACTAGACCTGGTGGTTTTAGTCACATTGGCTAAGAGGACTTGGAGGCTAGTGATTAATTGGTAGCAAAAGTAGCTGTGGCTCAGGATGAGTCAGGTTGTCATAGTCAATGTCCTGATCTTAGATGCAGACATAGTAGCAGCAAGACCAACCTTGGGGATTTTAAAAACCAATCATCCAGATAGGGAAAAAAATAAGTTCCAATTATATAGCCAAGCCAGGATTTTTAAATGTTGGCAAATATTAGAAGGCTACTGTAAGACTAATGATAGGACTTCTAATAAGATGTGAAAATAATTTAAAAGAATTTTAAGAATCTAAATATACATCTGGGCCTGCCTATGTTTTATTTAAATGAAGCCTGCAGTCCTTTTTATGAGTTCTTTGTGGATCTATTAGTCTCCATGGAGATATACACAATCAAGTTGTACATCTATTTGTGCATGAAAGCTGGTTGCCTCCAGCATCATATGCTGTCAGTAATAAGACTCCATAAAAAAGAATTCTTGAGGTAGGTATTCATTAGAAAATACCAAATGAATTTCTTGCCTAGATACTTAAAAGACATTCATAGAATTAGTCTGTCTTTTATTTTAATATTATTACCATTACTAATGAAGTGGAAGGAAAAAGTCTGAACAGTCTATACTAACTTGGTATCCTGAAGGAGAGGTACAAAATAAGCAGAAAGATGCTTTGCTTCTAAAGAGCAATAAAGAAGTTGGGGATGAAAATTTTACTGAGCAAGATATGTTGGAATTACACTTGAAAAGAGGAAATAATCTGAAAGTAGGCAGAAGTCCTCCGATGTTAGCTGGAGCTGTGACAGTGACACAGTGAAATAAGAATGAATGGTTGCCAGAAAATCTTCATCTCTCACATACCCACTTTTGGTAACCACTCCTGCCTTTAAAAGATCAAGAGAAAATGTATAAAGATCTTAAAGTGGAAAAAGAAACACTCATTGGTGAGTTCTGATGTTTGTCCAAAGGCAGCAGATATTATTAGTTTGTAGTGACTTAAGGCTTCAAAGAATGAAACATAAAGAGAAACCATCCCTGTCCGATCCATGCGACTGCTAACCCTTGGAATAAATGTGGAATATACTTGGTTTAATTTATATACAGCAACAACAAGAGCAAATAGAAATGTGGAATGGAAAGACAAGCTACAAAAGAGAAGACATTTAAAATGGCAGAAGATGTGAATAACTCCACAAAAGAGGATATCCAAAAGACCAATAAACATATGTTCAAACTCATTAATTATCAAGGAAATACAAGTTAAAACCAAAAATTAAACCAAGTACCATTGCATACACACTAGATGACAGAAATTTAAAAGTCCGAAAATATGCACAGAGAGCAATATGAATACTTATGCATTCTAGTAGGAGTATAAGCTATACAACCCCCTTTGGAAAATTGCTTGGCACCTATTAAATTTGAAGATATGGGCCGGGGGCAGTGGCTCACACCTGTAATCTCAGCACTTTGGAAGGCTGAGACAGGATCCCAGAGTTTGAGACCAGCCTAGGCAACATAGCGAGACCCATCTCTACAAAAAATTTAAACATTAGCTGAGTATGGTGGTGTGCACCTGTAGTCCTACCTACTCGGGAGGCAGATAGGAGGATTGCTTGAGCCCAGCAGTTGGAGACTGCAGTGAGCTATGATCACACCAAAAAAAAAAAAAAAAATTGGGGGAGATATGCACACCCTATAACCAAGCAATTTCATCCCTGAGTAGATACTCTAGAGTAATAAAATGCATGCACATTTTATCAAAAGACATAAAAAAGTCTGTAGCAAGTGTTATCAGTAATAGCATATTCTGTCAACCAGGAAATGATAAATAAGTTACAATTAATTCAGACAGTGGAAGAAAATTAAGCTAGAACAACACACAACATCAATGAAGCTTACATACAACTTTGAGAGATGGTAATGTTCCACTGGATGTATATACCACATTTATCCTTCATCCATTGATAGACACTTGGATTTTTTCTACCTTTTAGCTACTATGAATAATGCTGCTATGAACGTGGATGTACAAATATGTATTTGAGATCCTGCTTTGAATTCTTTTTGGTGTACACCCAGAGGTGGAATTGCTGGATCATACGGTAGTTAAATTTTTAATTTTTTGAGGAACCACCATACTATTTTTCATAGCCACTGTACCATTTTATATTCCCACAAAGAGTGCACATCTTTGCCAACACTTCTTATTTTCTATTTTTGTTTTTTTTAAATAGCAGCTATCCTAATGGATGTAAGTTTGTATCTCATTATGGTTTTCATTTTTATTTCCCTAATAACTAGTGATGTTGAGCATCTTTTCATGTGCTTGTTGGCCATTTGTATATTTTCTTTAGAGACATATCTGAGTCCTTGCCCATTTTTAAATCAGATTATTTTTGTTGAGTTGTAGGAATTCTTTATGTCTTCTAGATGTTATCTCCTATCAGATATATGATTTGCAAATATTTCTCCCATTCTATAGGTTGCCTTTTTGTGATAATGTTTTGGCTCAGTATTCATCTAAAATAAATTCCATCTCATGTAAATTTACTTCGGGATGAGGGCCATAAGAAAGAAGGCTGAACCAATGTGACTAAAGTTTATCATGTTCCTTTAGGAGTAGAAAACAGTCCTGGAGCAGTTTTAAGCCACTGTTTTAGTTTGAAATATCGCTTCAGTGATATACCAAGAGAGATTTATTTGTGGATTTAGCATTTATTATTTAAATTTTATTTCCCAAAATCAGATTTATGATCAAGATAGAAAAACTACATAGTGAGAAATTACAGGATGCCATATACAGTTTGCCTAAAATTATTTTAAAGTACATTGTTGGATTATTGTTACTCATGACAATATTTTAAAGTTCATTTTATAGATAATATTTTTCTTTTAGTTCTCTTCAGATATTTATTTATTTGTTTGTTTGTTTATTTAGAGCCTTGTGTGCCATGCTGTGAGCCTATCTCACAGCAACCTCAAACTCTTGGGTTCAAGTGATCTTCCTGCCTTAGCCTCCCAAGTAGCTGGGACTACAGGCGAGCACCACCACGCCCAGCTAATTTTTTCTATTTTTAGTAGTTCTTGGCTAATTAGTTTCATTTTTAGTAGAGAACGAGGTCTTGCTCTTGCTCAGGCTGGTCTTGAACTCCTGACCTCAAGCTATCCTCCTGGCCTCGGCCTCCCATAGTGCTAGGATTACAGGCGTAAGCCACCAAGTCTGGCCAGTTCTCTTCAAATATAAGCCCCTCTGAGGTTGATTACAAACTACCGTTTTCCTTTTTTCTCAGATAAATTTTAGATAAATTTTTGTAAACTACTTTTAAAGATAAATTTTAGATTATTTTCTTAACATATTTTAGTCTTTATGCAAGAAGAAAAAAGTTCATTTCCTGATTTATAACTTGATAACATAATTCATACATTGAGAGGAAAACAATCTATGTCTATCCTTAATTTCTAAGGACATACTGACTCTCATTTCAGAATTGGTTTATTCAAAGGCAACTAACATTCTCTTACTCTTCCAACTCCCTGGTCATTCCCTGGAAATTTAGTAGTGGAAAGAACAAAAATTATCCTTCTCTAAAGAGGACTTAGTTTAAAGCTTAACAGGAAGACTTATTATTAATAACTTTAATGAGGTTCATTGGGAAAGATAATATTTCAATATGAAATAATTGAATTTCTTTAGGTAATACTTTTTTACCTTTTACTTTGAAAAGCAGAGAAAAGTTACAAAAATAGTAGTGAGCTCCCTTCACCTAGAGTCACCAATTGTGAACATTATGCAGCATTTGCTTTGTCATTCTTTGTGTGCATGTGTGTATGTGTATGTGTGAGTATATTCATAGCATCAGTACTTACGCTAATCTCTATTGAAAGAAATCTTCTGACTCTAAAAAAAAACTATAAGGAGTATTTTACTACATATTTACTCTTTCAGTACTGACACATCATTCAAGGACATACTGAAGAAAGATAATTTTTTTTTTAAAGCACATAAAAAAATGGTCATAGGTTTTAGTGAGTTAATTTCCTACCAAATTACTAGCTCTACCTTTATGAAAATCTTGAGAGAAGTTTATCACTAACAGAAAAGAATTGCTCACATATATTATTTCACATCTAGACTGAACTACTAATACAATGAATTAGAGACAAATTTATAATTTATTATAATTTACCTTGTAGGCACACAGATATCCATAGTAGATGTAGCATTTTGTAGGAATTCAAGAAAAGCATGATACATATTTCAGTGAAGTCTCATCAAGTTAAGAGAAAACTTCTATGAAGTATAAAATCTTGGACAGGATACACTTATCGTCAACTAAGGAGAATAATGATTATCAGGTGAGCAAGGAATATATTCTTCAGTTAGGCTCATAAGATACTAGACATTAATGAAAGATCACTTCCATTTTATTACTTAGTTTAAGCATATATTGCAAGGGTATTTATTCTCTTTGACCTCTTTTCCAAAACACACTCATTTCATTTTATTTTTTAAATTGTGTAATTATGCAATTTGTTTTTTAATGTAGAAGGGATCTGTTTCAATTCATGGTCACCAGATTTAGACATAGACCAGTGTTTTACATAGCTATGGCTGGTGTCATTTTAGAAAGGCAATACAGTAGTCTATTGAAAAGCATGGACTTTGGGGTCAGAGCCCCTGGATTTGAATACAGACTGCTACTCATATTGGGCAAATGACTTAATTTCTCTGTGCCTCAAGTCTTTCATCTGTCACATGTATATAATGATAGTACCTATTTCACAGAGTTGTAATAAAAATTAAGCTAATGTATAAAAGAGCATGCACAGAGTAGAATTCAATAAATGTTTATTATTTGTCTAAATACTTAACAAAAGGATTTATATAATAGTCATTTATTAAAATTACTTCTGACAGTTACCGGGTACCTATCATATCCAAGTACTATGCTAAAAATGAATAAAACATATCCCCAGGCTTTAAGGAGTTCACAGTTTAGTGAGGAAGATGGACATCAAACAAATAATTATATAATAAAAGCTTGATAGAAGTAGTATTCTGGGATCACTGAGGCTCTGCTTAAGGAAATGAGAAAAAAGTTCTTATGGGTGTTGAGTATATAGGGATTTGTCCTACTGAGTGTCTGTGTATGTGTGCATCCTTGTTTGTTTGGGGGAGCCATGAAAGACAAATGTTCAGAAACTGCAGATTAAAGGAGACAATGGAAACATGACAACTTAGTGTAACACTGACTGGATCCTATATTGGGGGAAAAGTTGGGACAGTGAACAAGATTGGAATATGCAGTGTAGATTAGGTAATTTAACTTTATCAGTGTTAAATTCCTAAAGTTGATCCCTGTACTGTGATTCTGTAAAAGAAAATCATTGTTCTAAGACATACCACTGAAATATTAAAGGAGTAAAGGGGAATGATACATATTTGAGAGTAATGCATGATACCTTTGACTTTTCCTTATTTTCCTAAAAATCTCAAAACCATTCAGCAGTGGTTCCCCTTCTTCTGCTAGGAACTGAATGGTTAGTATCACAAACTATTTTTAAGTAGTTCGGGGAAAAATGGTATGCACACACTAGCACACAGAATGATGAAGCATGTGACAACATGTTAAAAATTGGTGACTCAGGATATACAGGAGTTATTTATGCTACTTTGCAACTTTTCTGTAAATTTCAAAAGAAAAAATTTAAAGGGGAAAAGCCATCATCAGAAGGTATCTTCGTCAAGAGGAGGCATTTCAACTGTATCCTATAGGCTGAATTCACCAGGTCGATAAAGAAGGGCGGGGGCCCATATGTAGAAAGCTAATGGGGGCATGAGTTATTTGTAAGTAGTTCAGTACGGTAATTTCTATGTCAGTGGAAGATGTTTAGATATATTCTTTCAAATATCTGTAGAAAATTAGCTTGGGTATTCATTAATTTGATGTTGATTAAATTTCACTACTGAAAATTAAAGAAATATTTAGCAAATTATTGGACTAAGTTTATGACAGAGCCATTTGTTGTTTTATATTCTTCTGTCTCTAGGAAATCCTTTGCTCTAAATATCCTGATTTTTTTTCTACCTGACAACTTGTAATTATTATGTGGCTGTTTTATTTTATTTTATTTTATTGAGACAGAGTCTCACTGTGTTGCCCGGGCTGGAGTGCCGTGGCATCATCCTAGCTCACAGCAACCTCAAACTCCTGGGCTCAAGCGATCCTCCTGCCTCAGCCTCCCGAGTA